TTATGATTATCGTCCAACACATTCCTTTTGTCCTATCATTCATTCATTAATGCAAATAAAATCCCTCTTGAGGCATCATGGGCCTTTTTCCCGGAGTCGTTCATCAAGGTTTCAACCTTCAGAAATCCAAAATAATTCAAATTTTCGAGTAAATCGATGATCATCGATATGTCTCAAAACGGCAGCCGCCACCCAAATCTCGATGGGCATGCGCTTCTGCCTCGTCTTACGGCCATCGCAACATCTTTTGATGCACATAAGGGTGATGCCATTGCGCAGCAATAGCTCGGGCACATGGGGCTGACCTCCACCGCCGCACTGTAACCTTGAAAAGTGCTCACGCATTCCCCCCAGCTCGGCTTCAAGAACATCCTCGAGAACCGAGAGGTCGAGAGCACGTCCTCAGCCTCAGGAGTAGCTGTTGGTCGTGCCTCAGTGGACTCACAAGGTCTTTGGTCTTACAGTTTTTTGACAGTGTCATGGCATGCGCTTGGCCTTCCAGCATGGAGGGGATGTCGCTCAGCTCCTGGAAAAGTTTCCAGTTTCCGAACGAGAGAAGCTGGGTACGGACTCCTTTCACCCCGTCCTTGTCACCGAGGATCAGCTGCTGGTGCTCCAGAATCAGCGGTGTGATGGCACTCTGCCTTGGCATAGCGAATAGCAGTGAGAAATCCAAGCCAACCGAAACCCACAATTGCAACGAGTGAGCCTTATAGGAGGGGAGACCTCACAGGGTATGAAAGATGTGCGAAATAAGCACCCAAATGGCATAACGGCCATGACCCATGCCCACGTAGAACAAGTTTCTTACAATTCCCGCGCTGATCCAGAACATCTTGCTGGCAACCGATGTCCTGACTCCATTCCCTACTACCACTGCTTGTGGGCGGGTTCGTGGGCGGGTGCGACACTCCAAACCCTTAATACCCCAAACCCCAAACCCCAAACCCCCAACCCCAAACCCTAAACAAACCAAACCTGAAGCCCGGTCCGGCTTTGGGAATTCCCCGTGCGGCGGGGCACACTTCCGGCGGGTTCTGGCCGAACGCGCCGATGAGGCCCTCAACAAACAGGCACCAGCGTTCATTCTCCCATATTATGGACTGGACGTTGTAGTAGATTGTGACCTCTGCATAAGATCGACCACCTGACCCTAAACCCTAAACCCTAAACAACCCCAACCCCACCCTGCGCCTTTCCACTTTCATGCCGGGGCAGAAGCTCCTCGCCCGGCGGTGCCACAATGACCAATGCCTTGCGGGCTGGCGGGATTGCAATAAGGGTTTAGGGTTTAGGGTTTAGGGTTTAGGGTTTCTGGTTCTGTTTTTGGAGATCCATTCACACTTCTAACCAGAAGCCGGATACCGAGGCCCAACAGATGTCAGCCGCCGTTACGGAGGAGCCCACGAGGAAATTGCTGCCCTGACAGGGCGTCGTGGAGAGTGAGAGGCTTTGACATCCCACAGACTTGAAGATACCGCATGTATTCGATGGAGGTTGATCCTATGACTTTTTCGAACAGGTCTGGGACAGTCTATGGTCTATGGCAGTAAATGGTAAGTAAGAGCGACTTACGGGAATCTACGTGGGTCGGATTCTGAAGTTGGGCAAGAGGAGCCCATACCATCTATGGTACAAGACAACAAAACTTTCTCATCTTGCACAGGAGATACAGCAGCAATGGGGGCAAAAAGTCTGAGCAGCTCTCAAAATCATACTCGTCGTCTTGGAGAAGTCATGCTGGCCTTGGCTTTTTGCTTCTCCAGAACGCCATGCACGTGATTCAGCAGCGCCACGGTCCTCTGCGGCGCCAGCTTGATCATCTCCTGGCTCAAGATTCGTTCCCTAAACCCTAAACCCCAAACCCTAAACCCTAAACCACCAGCTCAACTGCTGCCCAGGGTGCATCTGTGACTTTGTACTTGATCGCGAAGGGACTGCTAGAATTGCCCATCATGATGTTCCTCCGGCCGAAGAGGAACATCGCGTTTCGAACTGGGGAACATATGTCGGGTTGACGATAGTGGGGGTGCCTTATGGGGTTCCTAACTATACGGGGATCCTACGATTTAGGGGTCTATATTTGGGGTCCCTTATTTTCCTCAACTGCTGTTTATGTGGAGCCGAAGCTCATAGCTAATCTACTATAAGCCCTCATCCCCAACCCTGAACCATGGAGCCTCTTCTCATAGGCTAAGCCGCCAGGGGATCCAAGGGCCAAATGGCAAAGGCCAATCACCTCTGCCCGCGCAGCGGGGTCCTTTGGAACAACAAGACACTATACTGAACTTGGGAACCCTAGCAAGAATTTGAATTTTAGCTGTTTCTTCGGAATTAACGTGCCCAATAACTAGAAACTATTTCCCAAGCATCCCTAAGAAGACCGTAAACGCGCAGTCCTAGCTCGGAATCAACAGCTGCAAACGCAACTGGGAGGCGAATCTTGCAGATTTACCACCCACAATCACTTGCTAGGCACGGGAGCGCTGAAAGCCAAACACAACCAAGAGCAAGAACAAACTCAATAGATCGTTCATTCATGTTGTTGCTTTCAATCAGTTGTGTCAATCTTGCCCCCCTTTTTGCTTAAAGGAACCGCTTCAGGAACCCCTTGCACAACGTATGGGGGGGGTTGATTGTCGGTCTTTTCAGGGGGGTGATGTCCAGCATTCGCTATACTCAAGATTTTCCTCCATCTGCTCAGGTTCGTCTGCAGCCTGCTGGGATGCTTGTCAGTTTTGCTGAATTTTCTGAAGGCTTCGAAAGCTGACGCGAACGACTGCGGGTCTTGTGAGGCAATGATGGCTACTGGCTGGTATTAAACACCCCCTTCCCCAATGAACAAAACAACCGCGGGCCCGACAAGTAAGAGAAAATGTCCTGGCTTTTTGAGACCACGCTATTCCGATTCCGTAGGGTGGTCTGGCTCATTTGGGGGGTGGGCAAGTGGAATGCTCCCATGACGACTAGCCTTGCTCTCTACCACTATTTTGATGCACCACTGTTGCCATCTTTATGATCTTTTCTGTTGCCGTGAAACCCCGAAACCCTAAACCCTAAACCCGAAAACCCTAAACCCGAAAACCCTAAACCCCTAAACCCTAAACCCCTAAACCCCTAAACCCGAAAACCCTAAACCCCAAACCCCCAAACCCTAAACCCTAAACCCCCTAAACCCTAAACCCCTAAACCCCTAAACCCCCAAACCACCCCAAACCTGCCGAGGGCATCCTCCGGCACAAGCTGCGGGCCGCTCCCCAAGCGCTCGGCCAGGTGCAGTTGCTCCAGCCAAGAACTCCGTGGGGCCTGGGGGTTCAGGGATTCTAGGGGTTCAGGGTTCAGGGATTCTAGGAGTGTAGGGTTTAGGGGTTCTAGGGGTTCAGGGTTCAGGGATTCTAGGAGTGTAGGGTTTAGGGGTTCTAGGAGTTTAGGGTTCAGGGATTCTAGGGGTTTCGGGGTTTAGGGATTCTAGGGGTTTAGGGTTTAGGGGTTTCGGGGTTTAGGGGTTTAGGAGTTTAGGGGTTTAGGGCTTTTAGGGGAATTCATGTGCTTGGCCCGGGACCCCTAATAAATGTGTGCTGCTCTTGCTCTTCTATGCTTCAGTGTTTCACGTTGCTCATTCCTACGTGCTTCGCATGGCCGCGCGCCTCCGGTTCGACTCTTACTTAACACTTCTACAGGCTGAGCTATGGCAGCTATGCGCAAGTCATGGACTGCAAAATGGAGACAACGGGCCCGGTTCAAAATTCCACCTGGGCGCCTCGTCTGCCCACCAGCTGGTGGGATTGGAGCGCTGTGCTGTGAGCTGATAGAGCTCCTCCTGATCGCCCGTGGGATGCGCCACATGGATCACCGGCACCTTCTTGGCGTGGTACAAATTCTTGACGGCGACCTGATGCTCAAATGGGATGGGTGACCTGCTCCCCCCGGGCGCTGCACCTACTACATCTGCTGCATCTACTACATCTGCTACAACTACTATGTACCACCTACCACCTGCCGCCTGCCGCTACTACTACGACCACTACGACGACGACCACCACCACAACCACCACCACCACCACCACAACCACTATGGCTCCGACGACTACGACGACGGCTACTGCACAGCTTCATCTTTACCATATTCTGCTGCTTGTTCCGCGTCACGGTTCTCCATATTCCCAACGTCGTACACCAATCTGCGCTCTGCTCACTTTCCAACTTAAACACATCGAACAAGAAGCATTTCCTCTTGCTGGCAGGTAGAGCTGGCAGCTAGTCAGTAGTGGGATGAAAGCAGGTGCCAGGAATAATCATTCGCATAGCCGACACTAGGACAGCCATACGAATAGCCCTGGCAATTAGCATGTGAAGAACCGTGATGACAACCACGAAGTACCCAAATGCACATTGTCCAGGATGACTGTTGTAGATTGGTGGCCATGTCATCTCCGATGGGCCATACACAGGGCTTGTGGTCGGATGGAAGGACTGGTTCTTAAGCCAGCCCTAAACTAAACCCGCAAGCCTAAGACATGGTGGGAACTCGGTGGGCCATTCTGGATTCGTTGTGGTGCCTCCAAAGCCCTGCGTGAACTGAGGAATGTGAACCCCAAGCCATGTAACTTGATGAGCAGCACTGAACGTATCTGCATGTCGCATGGCCTCCTTGACATACCTCCCATCACAACCTTGCTCCGGTCAAGCTGAGCCGCGATCCAGATACCAGGGAGGCCTGGCACGCCGGTGACCCGCAAGCCCTCCTTCATGGCCGCGGCCTCCTTCAGTGGCATGAACCCGGCCATGGCTCTACCGGCGCGACGTGCCAGTGCCTGGCGGCTGAGTCCCTGTGAGCAGTAGAGAAGCTGGCGGAATACGGTCTAAGAGGGATCCTCTACGGCCTTGTGGCTTGTCTGTCGTCTGTCCCCCTGTGCTGCCACCTGGCCAGTCACAAGAAATGTTCTCGAATTATGGGTGTAGGAAGAGGTGAGCAAAAGTCTCACGTTCGACATGGCTCAACGAAGAAACGGTTACAAATGTACAGGACACAAGTGGATCTTCTCTCGAATGTCATTACGTGTCGAAGTCACGCTTCACTGCCAGTTATTGGCAAGGTTTGGGTCACGGCGTACTTTGCAATTATCAGATGGTGAGATTTCCTCAACGCATGGATCCGGATTCCTCCAATTTCTTTCCGCAATGATCGATTTAGTCGTGACAGGTGCTTCTTGGGCGATTGGGCATCAATTTCATTCTCGTATCTTGCGTTGACCCGATGATAGATTTAACCGAGTGCTCTTGGGAAAACACCTCCAGCACTTCTGAGGGCAAAATTCCAAACAGCCGAAGCCACCGGAGGCCGGAAAGGAACGGAACACGCAACACGCGATCGGAACGCCGGAACGGAACGCCAGAACTTGATCATCTTTGTCTTGCTGGCTGTTGGGCTGCACACCTGGGCGAATGTAATCCCTATTCAATACTTAACGCCTGTGGAAGATTGGCAAGCATCACTTTTTTCTGCGAGGCCGGATGCGCTGCGCCCAAGGGCTTCTAGGGTTTAGGGATGTTTAGGGTTTAGGGTTTAGGGTTTAGGGTTTAGGGTTTAGGGTTTAGGGCAGAGGGATTAGGGATTAGGGCTATTGGCATCTTCGGTCGCTAGGTGAAAGAGCATGGGAAACACGTCGTCATGGCTAACACTCACATTCTACACCTTGCAAGGCTGTCGTCCCAGAAAGTGTCCTAGAGTTGAGGCCTGAGTGACTCTCTCTGAGGATGCCATCCGTGCTAGGGTTTTCAGGGTTCAGGGTTCGGGGTTCGGGGTTCAGGGTTTAGGGTTCAGGGTTCATCATTTAGGGTTTAGAAAGCCCTTTGAAAGCTTTTGCTTCAGATGGCTGAGCTGGGCCTAAGTCTCTCAACTCCCAAATCCTCAGCTCGAGAATTTTCTAAGAACCCGAAACTCTAAACCCTAAACCGAAACCCTAAACCCTAAACCCTAAACCCTAAACCCGAGGCCCAGTAGCCCTGGGAGCTTCAGTCACGTTCGGGCGATCTTTGTGGGCCGCATTGGCTTGCGCTGCTGAGACCTGGGGGTTTCGGGTTTTGATGTATTATACAGTTTTGTAATTGCTTTTGGGGGTTTTGTTTTTTTAGGGTTTTTAGGCTTTTTGAGGGTCTTTTGTTGCTTTTTAGGGTTTAGGACTTAGGTTCTTGAGGTTTTTGGGCTTGAGGTTTTGGGGTCGATGGTTTCGGGTTTGAGGGGAAGTTGAGGGTGTGCAGGGTTTACATTCATTCTAACTATGTGGGGGGTGGAGGGCGGGTCGGGCAGTTGCTGACAATGGGTTTTTGGGTTTCGGGTGATGTCTAAGTCGCCATATATATATATACACATGTGTGTATATGTATATATATATACATGTGTATATATATATGTATATGTGTATATATATATATGTATATATGTGGGCAGAATAGGTCCCCACGTTCATTAGAATAGGTTGTCGGGTAAGGGTTTATATACTTTAGTATACTGTTTTGCTTGTTCCTCATGTTTTCACCCCTTAAACGAACAGTCCTTAATGGTGAATCTAGTACCCCCTATTCTAATCCCGATTAAGGACTGTTCGTATAAGGGTGGGAACATCCCAACCTATACTTCAACTTTATAGGTGCCCAGTTTAGTTCGACTCGGTTCTGGGTTTCAGGACTGTCCTTCGGCCCTCAAGTTCCATCCGGTACCTTTCGGAAGCCCTAAAGCCCCCTAAGGCCCTAGGGCTGCTAAGCCCCTGTAAAGATGCTAGGGTTTCGGGTTTAGGGCTTAGGGTCTGAATGATGAGAGGGACCTTGACAAGGGGGCCCTTGATCCACGCTTCTTTGGTTTAAGAGTCTAGCACACCCTGATCCCTAACGCTGTACCACTAGGAAGGAACGTCACCGCAGGGTCAATCGTTATGGCATAAGGATATGGACTGCCATTGACGAAGGCAACCCTCAAGCAAGCAAAGCCCTAAACCCCAAACCCGAAACCCCAAACCCGAAACCCCAAACCCTAAACCCCAAACCCTAATCCCTAAACTTTCGAAGAGTTTAGGGCTGAGGGCTCCGCAGGAACTCTGTGGCTTGTCGGGCGTGGCTCATGGTGAGCCTCGGGAAAAGGCCAGGAAGTTTCCACCATCGGATTCTTGACCCAGGAGTAACTTAGGGGCGAATACCCGAGCCCAAAAATGGTTAACCCTTTTTCGTCATAGGATTCTAGCTAACCAAAAGGTCAAAAAGGTCGCCTCCTAAGGTAACCGGGGAATATCAAAGGGTTGCCCTTTTACGGTTGACAGGGGGTTATAAGGGAAACGACAACCAAAGAACGGGAATAAGGGCCTACTCTGGGTGTTAGGAATAGGTTTTAGGGTTTGTCAATGAAGGAACTAGGGCACAGGGCTTCGGGCTCTGCGGCTACTCCTAACCCTGCCCTAAACCCGGTCATCTGAAGCCCGCGTGCTAAACACGATGAAGTTGCACTCAAGAAGGCTCACATGCACGGTTTCGGGCTGCTCCACCAATCCACTACCGCATGGGGGCTTGTTCAAAGGATGGCCGCCTTGAACAGGGTGGTGGGTCTAGAGTTTATAGGGCTGAGGGTTTATGGGTAGTTTGCTTGTGTGTGAAATTTTGGGGGGATCCTGCATGGCACTTCACATATAAGACACCAATAAGCCCTAAAACCGTTAAGTCCCCTCATTAGCCTCACTTGAAATCCCTGACACCTAAACCCTATAAGCCCTAAACCCTGTAAACCCCTTAAGCCCAACAACACCCAAACAAAAACCAAACCCTAAACCCTAAACCCTTAACCCTTAACCCTAACCCTAAACCCTAAACCCTGATCCCTCCCAGATCTGGCTTAAGCGCGAGACCCCACTTCAGGATCCACCAGGAGAATGCCCCCGGTCATTCGCAGCCTTCGTGGGGCGGATATGAAGCTGGACTTATGATAAACATATTTGAGTGAATGAATGAACGAATGAATGAATGCATGAATGAATGAATGAATGAATAAGCGAATGAATGGGGGCTTAGGACCTGAGACTATCAACCTCCTGCTGCGTCCAGTAGGTCAGTAGGGTTTAGGGTTTGGGGATTTAGGGTTTAGGGATTGTTTTGGGGTTTAGGGATTGGGTTGAGCCCCCGACCTCACACGGCACTCTACGCCCCAAACTCCCCATCGGGAACCTCAAGGCGACCATCAACAAACCCTAACTTCGGACCCTAACCCACAAAAAGGCGTCTCAGCTCCCGACGTGTCTGGAAGCCTCAGTTCATTTTCAAGGCGTGAGCCCGCTAAGTGTTTGCAGCTTTTGGCCACAAGTGTTTGGGGCTGTGGGCCTGGGGATATATGGGCGATCCCAACACTCTAAACCCTAAACCCTAAACCCTAAACCCTAAACACTAAACCCTAAACCCTAAACCCCAACCCCTCAACCCTAAAAACCCTAAACCCTAAACCCTCCGCCCCAACCAGAAAAATGGGGAGGTGGCAAGGGGGGGGGGGGGGGGGCGGGGAGTGGGGGGAGCACCAGTAGGGATGCCGACTCTTAAGCTTGAGCCCCCGAATCCTGAGAGTCTTAAAGGTCCTGAACTTGAGGCCCTGAGGGGGCCTTGATGGGGTCTGAGGCTTTAGGATGGTTCCCCCCCCAAATATTTGTTCTGCGGGGCTTGCGGGGGCATTTCTTTGTGGAGGGTCCCAGATTTGTTGGGGGGGGGCTCCTAAATCAAGACCAACATTAACCCTGAGCCCCGAACTCCAAACCCTAAACCCGGCATTTCGGGCTTCGCTAGGGTCCGGTGGTTTTCCCTCCATCCTGCGGCACAGCAGCCGCACGTCATCAGCCGATTTCAGGTCCAAGTCGTCCAGCGCCAGCCACCGCTTGACCTTCTTGGGGCTCTGAAATGACTTAGGGTCTATATAGGGTTTAGAGGGTTTACAGTGTTGAAAGGGGATGATAGGGTTTACAGTGTTTGCAGGGTTTGTAGGGTTTAGAGGGTTTTAGGGTTTAGAGAGTTTAGAGGGTTTGGTTTATTTGGCTTATAGGGTGCAGGGGTTGGCCGCCCTTGCCCACCCACATGTTCATGGGGGCCATTCCCGGATTCTCCAGCAGCCTCAAAAAAAACAGAAGAGGAGGGTTTAGCGTCTAGTCTTTAGTGTTTAGGGTTTGGGGCTTAGGGTGTAAGGTTCTTAGGTTGTGGGCCCGACTAGCTGGTTCCCACCCCGGCCCGACCAGCTAGTTCCCACCCCTGCGTCGGCCACAGCCTTCGTTGATCGCAAGCCTAAACCCTGCCTACGCGACTCAACCAACACGCTTACATCCATCGGCTCTTCCACCAGGAGTTGGGAGTGCACGGAAGTGGCCCAAATCTTTTGTTCCCATCCTGGGTTTAGAGTGTAGGGTTTGGGGTGTAGAGTTTACCAAAACCTGAATCTGAGCTCTCAGAGTAGCCAAGGCAGCCCAGACCCAAAACACTCTTTGAAAGGCCCCACGGTGCCTCTGTGTGGTCTTCGATCCACGTGGTGATCTCCTGCAGAAGGGAACTGGGGCTGCTCTTAAGATGGGGTTTTTTAGGGTTTAGGGTCGGTTAGGGTACATAAAGAATAATCTCTCGCCAGCACCTCTGGATAAGAGCGTCTTCAGTTAATCTGTATCCACACAAGTTTACACTTCAAGACCATTGTACCATAGTCACCATCCTCATACTTATCCTCAGCCTCACCCCCATTCCCATCCTCATCATCGTCAGCGACAACATCGACGTC